GAAACATGGGATTCTCTCAAGAATTTTAGACTTGGCCTTGATTATCTCTTCTTTTTTTATTCCATTTGAGTGAAAGTGTCAGTTTTCTGTCACTATAACAAACATCTGAGGTGGTTAACCTAAAACAAAACAAGATTCATTTTGGCAAACAGTTGTGTGTATGTGTTTGCGTGCATGCGTGCATGCATGTGTGGTTTGTTGTCGTTGTTGTTGTTGTTGTTGATGTTGATCCTGGGTCTTCAACTCAAAGCCTGGCCACTGTGCATTTGAGGCACAGCTCCACTTCCAGCTGTGTCTTGTGACTAATTGGAAATGAGAGTCTCATAGACATTGCTGCCCAGAACCATGATCCTCAGATCTCAGCTCCCTGAGTAGCTAGGGTTATTGGGAGCCACCGGCATCCGGCTTGCAAACAGTTTTGAAGCTTAGAGCCATTCATTATCAGTTAGCTAGGAGGGCAGCAGATTGTCGTATGAGTATGAGCTGGTTTGCTGACTGAGAAGGCCTAGGTTCCCTGCCTGATGCATTGCCCATCAAGAGCACATTCCAAATGACTTGAAGACTTTGATTAGGCCCTGTGTCTTAGAGGCTTCTGCCAATTGCCAGTGGTGGCTTCTCTGGAGTCCTAGGCAAAATGTGCACCGTGGGAGGGAGGACATTAAGATCTGAGTTCTAGTGAAGTAAGCTAAACATGGAATGAAGTTCTTACTTGGGATCTGATCAGTGAAATATGAAGCTGTGAATAATAGCATCCATTTTTAATAATTGGTTTTACTTTATCTGTACCTCACTCGCTTTTCTAACACCCTCATTTCACTGGGGATTACTTTTGGGCTTAGACCAAACATGATTTTATCTTTTAGTTGTGTATCTCTGAAAGAGTTCTTTATTAAAAAAAATTAGTAACAATAACATCCTGTCTAAAACATGTAAAAATAGTTGTTAATGTTTTCAAATATTGATTCAGCTTTCAGTTTATCCTAGTCTGTCAATATTTATAATGTGAATCAGCGGAAATAAGATTAATTTCACTTACTGTAATAGCTCTCATTTCTTCCTTTATTTCTTAACCTCTCTGATTTGTGTGCTTTGCAACAAACTAGTGAATTTCTTTAGTTTTTCTTCTCGTTAACGGTTTACCTTCTTGATCTCTTTATTTCCTGGAATTGATCTTTACCCTTCTTTCTTGTATTACCTAGATACTTTGGCCTAAAATTTGTGCTCTTAATTTTTTTCATTAGGTTAGTGGAAACATTTTTCTCTTATCATAATTTTATTTTTTTGACATATCCTTCTAATTATTTTATGTACCAAATACTTCAGGAGACCCTTCTACGTATACTAACTAGTCTAGGTTTTGGCTTCTAGAGCTTACACTAAAATGGAAAAAGAACTCAATACTTACTGTAATGTCAAATAGTTAAGCTCAATAAGCACTGGTGGAGTATGTACTGTTTTACATAGGTTGATTAAGCAAAGGTTTGTCATGGGTTATACTTGGTTTAAATCAAAATAAAGCAAGAGAATAAAGTTATATAGTTATCTGAGAGAAACACCCTCCATCCTGAGGGAATAACAAATGCAAAAACCATGGGACAAGATGTACCCATTCTTGTCCAGAGATGACAGTAGAGAAAATCATAATGGTGGGAGCTGAAGTCTGAGAAGTAGGGACTATTGAGTAGGGTTCTCTGGACTCTTGACTAGGATTCTCTGGACTCTTGACTAGGATTTTAAACTTAAATGTGTAAAGAAAGCTTTGGAGGGTCTTGAAAAATAGAAAGGGATCAGGGATAACTTAGTTGAGAATAAACTTGTGGGGAGAGAATTCACAGTAGTGGAGCCTAGGACACTAGTAGATTATCATAGCCTTGCTGAGAAAGAATGGTGATTTATAATATAGTTTTAAGCTGAAAGTAGTAAATGGTCAGATTTGTAATTCTTTTCTTTTTGTGCCAGTGGGGGCTTGGGTACTGTCCCTGAACTTTTGTGCCCAAAGTAGAGCTCAACCACTTGAATGACACCTCTGCTTCTATTGTTTTAATTTGGTCATTAATTGGAGATACTTCTTGCTTGGGCTGGCTTTAAAACTTGATTCTTAGATCTCAGCCTCCTGAGTAGGTAGGATTACAGGCATGAGCCCCTGTTGGATAGCGTTTTAAAGATAAAGCTAGCAGGATGTACTGATTGCCTGGATATAAAGAGAGGAGCTAAAAATGGTTCTAGAGTTTTAAGCAAGCAGAACTAAATGATGGAGGTTCTGTTTGCTTGGAATACCCTTAGAGAACAGTTTTTTGTCAGACAGAGAATACGTATGGAATCAATCTTAATTTTCAGCATGTTATACAAACAAATGGCAGTCCAGTTACACTCTGTAGTAGGTCAGATGTGAATTGGGGGCTGGAGAAATTACCTATGAAGTCCTTGGAGTATAGTCAGTCCCTGCATGAGGTTACCTAGGGATGAGTGAGTGAGTAAGTGTAAAGAATGAGAGGACTGAACTTGTTGGGGTCTGCTGCTATGTAGACTTCTTGAAGAAGAGGTTCTTTCAGAGGATATTGAAAAGAAGGGACTGCTAGTTAGATAAGGGAAGCTATGATATTCCAAAAGTTAATGAGTGGCTGTACAATTGGTAACATACCCTTTCAATTCCTTTCAACATAGACAGTTTTGTTTTCTTTCTCCTTGATTACACACTAAAATACGTCCTTATTGTAGAATACTTGGAGAACAGCAAAAAAAGAAGAAAAAAAAGGTTAGATAAAACAACAGTAACTAAAGCAACAATAGTAACATTATACCTTATCCGCCTTGTCACTAGAGATATCACTGATAGCAATCTATTACACTTTTCCTATAGTTTTTAGGAGCTTGTGAAATGTATATATTATTTCTAAGCTGTTAGAGAAAACTGGTGAAAAATAGTCTTAGTTTGCTTATTAATGAATATACTTGTCAAATTCAAATTTTTTCATAAATTTGTGGCAGCATAAATACTTCATCATGGAGTAACTGGCTATTCCACCCCGGCCTAGCTGGAGCTCTCAGATCTCTGAACCCGAATTATAATCTTAAGTGAGTTCTAATTAATGTAACTGTAGTGAGGATAGTATAGTGGTTAGAAAAAAATGGGCTCTGGTTGGTTTTGTTTTGTTTTGTTTTTGCCAGTCATGGGCCCTGAGCTCTGGGCCTGGGCGCTGTCCCTCAGCTCTTCATCTCAAAGCTAGCACTCTACCACTTGAGCCACAGCGCCACTTCTGGCTTTTTCTGCTTATGTGGTGCTGAGGAATCGAACCCAGGGCCTCATACCTGCTAGGCAAGTGCTCTACCACTGATCCACCTTCCCAGCCCTGGGCTTTAACAAGTCATGTGGAAAATAGAATAAAGATGTGTTCTTACTCTTTACTGATATGAATTACTACCTTAGTGTTAGATTTTTTATCTATTTCCAGCTAATCTTCCCCCCATCTAAATGTTAAACCACATGAATTTTATTTTATTTTTTTATTTTCAAATAGGCTCAGAGTGTTCTCTGGCTAGCATTTTCTTCACAGTCCCTCCTTTCCTCAGTTCTTTACCATTTATCTTGGTCAAAGTATATGATTCTATTTGTTATCAAATGCTTTTCTAAAAGATTGTACGTACTGTTTGAAAGTATATTTATGAAGAATTTGTTCTCTTTAAATTTTAGGATAGACCACTCTCTTGAAGAGCTCTTTTAAATGGAGTTCTACTTGGATGAGGAGTAGATAACTTGTTGACTAACCCTAGGGTGAAGATAATAACTAATATTTGTATAGTGCTCTAAAGTTTACAGAGTGAGTTTTCTTTCACCATCTCACTTGATCCTCACAACAGTTCTGTGAGGTAGGACAAATACTACTCTCATTATAGAGATAAAACTCATAGGGTAAGTGACTATCAAGTTTATATGTTTTAGCTAAGATTCTGAATCACATTCTATATAGTCACATTCTTCATACATGTTTTGTTACAAATGCACATTTCGAATTACTTACACATGTTGGTTAGTAAAGTGGCATTTGTTCTATATAGAAATAAACCTGATATGACTAGCAGTTATTTTTTCCTCAGTATCCTTCAATCCTTTTCCATTCTTCCTTTCTGCTCCCTAATTAATGACTTTGTGTCTTTATTAATTTCAATTTTCAGATAAATAGTTTTGATGTGGGTCTTGAACTCAGGGCCTAACACTTTTGCTTGGCTTTTTTGCTCAAGGCTGGCAGTCTTACCACTTACTCGTCCACTGCCAGCTTTTTGCTGGGTAATTGGAGAAGAGTCTCATGTGAGTGTGCCCTGGCTGGTTTTGAGCCTCAGTACTCAGATCTCAACCTCCTGCATATGGCTAGGGTTACAGACTGATGCCCTGATAGAGAAGTATGTTTGTTCTACGTTTGGGTGAATGAGGAGTTAAGATTATTATTTTTAAAAATTTCTCCCTGTCTCTCTTTCCCTTTCTTTTTGTTCTTGTGTTTTCACTCTTCCTTCCCCTTCACCTCTCTCTCACCTTCATCCCCACCCCTCTTCCTCTTCTGTGCCACTGAAAAATACATTGTTAGTACTCCTTTTAAGCATATAGCATAAAGTCTTTCAGTAGTCTGATCCCAGGTAGAATTAAGACTCTTTGGTTTAGGACTGAACTTAGAAGCTTTTCAAGGTATGGAACTCTTTTGTGTACTACCTTAAAGTAGAATTGGGATAATTAAGTGTTCCAGCTGTCATATTCTCAAGGGAGGAGCATAGCAATTGATAAGTAATAGTTGAGGTCAAATCAGGAAAGATTTCGGTTGTACTTTTATTTATTACCCCGAAAGGTAGAAGTTCATCAAAGCTTGGTAGTGGTAATGTCACTTACATTAAGAGTAGATGTAGATTTTTATGACTGTGCAGTCTTAAAACTCATTTTTTACTGCCTTTAAAATACTTAAAACTCCAATATATTTTAAAGTTAATTTTTTGTTGTTCTTATCTTTTTCTAGTTGTTGGTCTTGACGATATTATGGATGAAGGAGTTGTTAAAGAAAGTGGTAATGATACCATTGATGAAGAAGAATTGATTTTACCTAACAGAAATTTGAGGGACAAAGTAGAAGACAATTCAGTAAGATCACCAAGAAAATCACCTCGTTTAATGGCACAAGGTAATCTCTCCAAAGAGGTCTACCTAGAAAAGGAGAGCTGTAAGAACAGGTGTGTTAGGTTGTAAACTTGGTGAACAGACATAAAATTTAAAAAAAAAATCTTCGTTAGTATAAATTATGCTTGGTAATAAGCCTGAGATGGTATCAATTTGTTATATACGTTTTTTAGTACTCACTACCCCAGCTGTCCATTTTTCCATGCCAAAAAGAAACGAACTCTTCTGGTTAGTTTTATTTTTGGTATATAATACCATGTCACTGAATAATATGCATAAATATTGTTTTTGTACCTGTATTTTGTTTTGTTTTTAACCAGTCCTGGGTTTTAAACTCAGGTCCTGGGCACTGTCTGTGAGCTCCTTTTGTTCACAGCTAGCGTTCTACCACTTGAACCACAGTGCCACTTCCAGCTTTTACTGTTGATGTGGTACTGAGGAATGGAAACGGGGGCTTTACACACATTAGGCAAGCACTTTACCTCTAAGTCACATCCCAGCCCCAATATTTTTATTTTTTAAATTACTCTAATGTTGGTGCTCATCTATTTATCTCCACTTTGGATGATAAAGATTTCCTTTACTCTTATCTCTGTGACAAAAAAGTGCATTTTCTAATTCTTCTAATATGTAATTTTTTTTAATTTTTATTTTTTATTGTGAACATACTGTACAGAGGGGTTACAATTACATGGGCAAGATAATGAGTACATTTCTTA